TTTTTAGTTGTGCAACTAAACAGTTGAATTGGCTGCGAAACAATCGACAATCGCACAACGATTGTGCTATAATTTAGTGAAAGGTGTGCGCCTGCTTTGTGTCTATCACTAGAGTGGAAAACATAGGCTATCGAAGCATTCTTAAGTTAATTGTGATTCTACATAGGTGCCTAATGTTAGTTCCAAGCAATGACGATATCTACCGCCTACATTGATTCAATGACTCGTATGATCTAATTGCTTACAATACGCACTTATTAACATAATTATCAGTGTATAAAGTACAAGCATTGAGTATATCGACAAAGACAACCCATTATGTATACTGATTAGTTTCCACAGACGAAACGTGAACAAAAACATTTCAAAGATGGCAAATGAGCAGAGGATCTCATAACATTTAACCAATCGACAACCGCAACGCTAGAGAAACTCGCACATGTATTGCCGGCGTTTAATGACCGGTTTCCCAGCTACATTTAACCATTTGTTAGTGTTTTGGTCCAAATGCGTTAAAGAACTACGTAACTTTACGCCGTTGAACCATAGTTCAATATAAAACTAAATAATCATTAGTTAACGTTCAAATTAATGGAAACCTCAGCAACACAGCATAACTTTTACGTTCTTTGATTTGTATTTTTGTATGTATTGAAATAACTCAAAACCTACTGGGCCGATTTCAAAAATTCTTTCACTTATAAAATACTACGTTATCAGATAGTAACATAGGCTATATTTTTACGCGGGTAAAGTCGCGAGCAACATATAGTTTGAATCATAAGATTGCAACGGAGTTATACACAAAATCGATTTCATAATGCATGCTATGAAAAGTTAGGCGACATCCAGTCTGTTGAGCCGCGCCTTGTTTTCTGTTTGTATTATAACATGCTTTTTACAGACGCAATTATAAAAGTTATTTATTGAACTTCAATCTGTTTAAATAAATGATAACTTATTTAGCAGAAGACTATAAACAAGAAAGTATTAAAATTTAATGTGGATATCTACAAAGGTAGAGAACGAATTAAGAAAGTATGGATTGATTGTGTGAAAGAGGATATGCTTAAGGGAGTGAATTCAGACATGACAGTTGAGAAAGATGTAAGGAACACAGTACCGGACCCTCCTTAGGGACAAGGGCAAGTTGATGATGAATCAGAAGGAATAAGAAAATAATAATTTGATCATGAATATGTAATTGTTCTTAGAAGGGTAAGCAGACATCATTAAATGCATACAAGCCATATCCTATGTATTAAGGTAAGTGGAACTAATAAGTTTTAGTTATATAGCAAAAATACTTTCCATGGAAAGGTTTCCATGGAAAATTTAATGTTGCCGCTTTAAATGGGGGTTGTATTAAAACGTGCGTTTTTAGAAGCGTTAAAAAACAAGCAAAACAATAAAGATCAAGGATATGTAACATATTCACCGTTATCGTGCGTTTCCATTTATTATCTGTGCACTAAAATATGCAAAAAATGACCCAATTTACTATACAATCTATACTACACTACAAAGCAAAGAAACCGTCACCAAACAAAGAAATGCCGGAAAATGGCGCAACGTCATACCTAGAACATGAATTATTTCTAACCAAATATTTGCACAGATTTAACACAACTGCATATTCACAAAAAACACATAAAAAAAATTTTGCACAAAAATGTTTGTGCAAACCAATCGAGACCAGACATCACAAGCACAGCCCCTCGTAGTTAGATGACGACTAGCGCCGCGGTTGTGGAAACCTTCGCTGCAGATAAAGTTAGGTTTACACACATTACCGCATAAAATAAGTGTGGACACACTCTGTTTATTTATGACGTAAACTTTGTGTACGAGGTTTTACGACTGACAGAAATAAAAATGTAACATAGGAACTCTTACTGAATCAGTTTGTCTGTCTGAATGCAATGAACGGAAACACAAAGGATTTTTTCTATATTGCAAACAAATAAAGGTTGAAAATCATTTTATAAATTGTTTTTTAAAATGCATCCGCATGAAATTATAAAAACTTTATTTTATTGTTTACATTTGTTAAATTCTCAAATGCAAATGTTAAAACTACCGTTACTATTGACTTGCTTCCTTAATTGGCAGCTGATAGTTTACGGTCTCTTTCCCACATGAAGGTTTTTTCCAATTTATTTACACCCTAAGTTTAATAGCGTGAAAATATATAACCTAAAGCGTGTTGTAAGTGTAGGGCTTTTTATTAAAGAAAGAATTATTCAAAAATATACTGTAATTGCTGGCATCATACGCCACGAAGTAGTGTGTGTTTACACTTTATTACATTTGTGTAGAAGTATACATATATATTTAAATATTGATAAAAAGTTTAAAAAAGAAACACATGAGTCGTATAATGTACTCGTCTGTTTCCTCATATTTTAAATACAAATCAGTGTTACAATTTCACTGTAAAAATCCACTAACGGTAAAATAAAAGAAATAAACCAAGGAAATTATTATTCCACTTTAATTAGCGTAATAAAAGTCGAATAAATCTTTTATTTTATTTAACTAAATTCAGTAATTCGTATTTAGATAAAGATCTAAAGTCCGATTTTAACATAAACATTTAAATTTATTTTCATTGACCGTTACACATGAAGTAATGTTTATAAAGAAAGTAGATAGCACGCAATGGAATTCTGCACAAAAATCGTAAAAAAAATTCAGTAGGTATCAAACTTTTTAATTCACCAATTTAAGGTAAACTAAGGTAACAAAAAGAAAAAAAATATACGATACTTTCGAAATTATGTTTTTTTTTTCATTTTTCGCATAGTTTTTTTTTTATTTTCTTAAATAATACCCTCATTAAGTTAGTTAATTAATCATACATTTGTTCTCACTGTGCTCTTAGTAATATTTTTTTACAAATTCGCCTTTTGACTGAATTTACTAACCAAATAAAAATAGATCACCTCCGTAGAAGCCTGCTCTAACATTTCGTGACTTTTTCCGTCGGCAACATGACTCATTGAAGATAACCGTTACTGTACATCCCTACACCACCATGCTACCACCACATGCTATTATAGCTCTTATTCTATACCCATAAGAGATATATTAGCGTGTTTATTACAAAGATATGTATACCGCTGTTGAGTAGAGTATACCTTGATTGTTAGCTCAAATGTACTTTAACAAAATCTGTTTGTTTGTCGGCTGTTCTTAATAATGACGCTTGCTTTGTAATAGATAGGTAGTGTATATACCATACCGTCTGAATTTTCGAATTTAATAGCTTTCGCCTGCGACTTTGTCCGCGTGGAATTAAAAAAATAAAAGTAAGTAATCTATGTGTTCTTCCATACTCTACATCTATGCCAAATTTCATCGATATCCGTTCAGCAGTTTAGGCTACAAACCCTAATAAACATCCATCTAAACATTTAAAATATTAGTAAGAAGTAAAATATATGCAATTCTTTTATAATTGTTAACGTAATTATTACAATATATCGGTCATGGTCGAAACAGATTCACATGTAATTACATAATTAAACAATTAACCTGAATTTCAGCTTAACTTTATTTCAACTTAGCGTCTTAAGTGAAAGGCTGATAAAAAGTAAAGTCTTACGGTATTGCTAAGATACTCAGAGTCAATAAATTGTAACTTAGTAGCTCAACGTACGAGTGCGGCAGTTACGTGAAACATTTCACTTAGTTCCGTAAATTGATAAGAGATGGCGTTAAACGTTCAAAGAGTAGAAACTGTATATTTTTATAAATAAAAATTGAAAATCGTGTTATGTAAATATTAAGAAATAGATAGTTTAGCTTAAAATATAGAATTAAATTAATTGTGCTGATTTATTTGTCAAATTAAATATAGGTCAAAAAGGTAATTGACAGTAATGAAAGATGCATCAGACTAGAACAGAGGTTAGTGAACTTTTGTAACTTATAAAAAGGAGCCTTCTTTCGAAGAAAACAGCAATTATACCATAATCCATCTCTTTCTTACACGCAATCTTAACCTATTTGAAAACTAAAGTACATTGTGCTAGTTGCAACTTAATTCAAAGGTGATAAGATTTAATTTCCCTTCTTATTTATGTGAGTAATGCATTGGGAAGCTTCCCAACAGATGTGCTGTAGACAATGGCTTTGATTCATACGAAATCTTCACTCGATAAATGCAATACTATAGTAAGGACCGTGTACTCGTTATAAAGTGACTAGCTGTTCATGTGCGACTTTATCTGCATAAAATTAAGAAAATTTTATTTTATTGTTTACATGTGCCAAATTATCAATTGCAAATGTCAAAATGACATGATATGATGACAATCTTGCTTCATTGATGTTGGCAGCAACTTATGGTCTCTTTCCCACATTAGGGTTTTTATGCAAAATATTTACCCCCTAAGTTTAATGGCAATAAAATATGTAGCCTAAAGCGTGTCGTAAGTGTAGGGCTTTTTTATTAAAAAAAGAATTATTCAAAAATATGCTGTAATTGCTGACATCTTAGGCAACAAAGAAGTGTGTGTTTACGCTTTATTATAATAGTATAGATTTGTGTTGAAAATACCGTTAAGTAATTCCTACTATTATATAGACTATAACATAATTGTAAATGTTAATTAAAGAATGATAAATAACATTAATTTCGGCAACAACCCTTAATATTAAGACAGAAAATACGCTTAAAATGGAAATATTTCCACACACACACACACATGCTTCTTCCGATGAGTATATACGGGAGGCTTAATTTTAGTCCTTTCCTCTTTCCACCTTTTTTTAAAGAATGAATGAAGAGAAAGTGGAAATGAACGGGAGATGGAATATATATAAAGGGGAAATATACTCTTTCTGTGCTTGCTCTGGTAATTAAAGGCAACTGCATAAGTGAAGGTCTAAGGGATGCAGTCCCTCCGATGTTTTAGGCAAATACCGTTGGCTGATTGCTCGTTTGTCACCTTATAATATAAAAAAGTTAATTCAGTATAAAATAGCATACTTACATTTTCTCTATCAACGTCTAATTGTGCATTATCCTTCTTCGCCAGCGAAAATCTTGTGACATTTTTATTCTCTGCCTTCTCGAACTTTCTGTACCTTCTCGTGTCTGTATTGAATTGTTTTTCAATCGATTTCTTTGCAGTTTTAAACTCCTCGCACACATTTTCTGTTGATTTGGAAACCTTTTTTGATAGCAAAGGTTCTTTTTCGATACCATTCTTATTACTAAATATCTTTTTAGTTTCGTTAATACGAACTCTTCCTTGATACAGGGATTCTTTAGATAATCTTTTGTTTATTTCTGTTTCTGTATCGCTGAAACCGACTTCGAAGTTCTGCCTTAGTTTTCGGAAGTCAATTTTATTTGACTTTGTAAAGTCCGGGGTGGTGGGTCGGGATATTTCACAAGGTATGTCGTAAATTTTCTTATCCTGGAACAAAAAGATTTTATGATCAGCATTTAATCATTGCAAAAAAAGTTTTGTTATCTTAAAAACTATCCTAGACCTTTGCAAATTAAGTAAATACCTATTCCTATTCTTGGTTTAATTCCCTTCCATAATACTGGTTTCGATTAAATAAAATGTTAAGATTGATGGCTGCAAAGGTAGAGGAAGACCGAAGAAGGAATGGATGGATTGTGTGAAAGAGGATATGCTTAAGAAAGGAGTGGTATCAGATATGACGACTGATAGAGATGTATGGAAGAGCAGCACATACTGTGCCGACCCTCTGTAAGGGATAAGGGCAAGTGGATGATGAATACTGGTTTCGATTAATTGATTTTTAATTAAAGATTAGAGAGAAATCTCCATCCTGCTTGAAGGACCATTTATAAGAATCATATCAATAGCATGCAAGCTACTGATAAAACTCCAAAACAAACGAGAACGTGTATTAATAGTACTGATTAAGCAACATGACTTCGACATATGGTTTGTTTGGTCTGCGTCAACACTGGAGAAGAGCAAAAAGAAAGTGCTCGCACCAACAGATTGAGAAACATATGTGTTCATGACTCAACAATACTGCACTTTCTACGCAAATAGATTTAGAAAATTTGGTACACGTTTACAATATTTGCTTCTATTAGATGTGGCCTAGATGGCTGATTTTTTTTAATCTGTAAAGAATTGAAACGATCATTTTAAAGTTTGATCAGGAATAAAAGAATTACATACAAAAGAAAAAATATTTAAAAATGCGACAATTATAGTTTGGTAATTTCGTCCTGATAAAAGACATAATAATGCATATACTTATCTCTATCTTTGTTTAGAAGACGAAAGGGAGGAAGACGAAATATACAAAGAACGAATATTTCGGTGTTGAGAACTGATTGTTCAATCTAATACCAGACATGAAAGAGCTTAAGTTAAAAACTCAGTTATGATAAGAGAAACGTCTAAATATTTTAATAGCTTCTATTATATTGAATGAACAGGATAAAATATTTGTGATTCAGAGATCAGTTTATACTTAGTTCACTTCGAAGTAAGATCTTTGTTTACAGTTAATTTCCCTTAACAGACGCCTGCGCGAAATTAAAAATATAGCCTATGTTACTCAGTGACAACGTAGCTTTTTAATTATAAAAGACTATTTAAATCGGCCCAGTAGTTCTTGAGTTTTTTTTTTAATAACATAAGGTGGCAAACGAGCAAGCGGCCACCTGAAACCGCCAAAATGGCGAAGCGACCGCTGCCCATAGACATCCGCAATTGCAGATGCTTCGCCTACCCTTATACGACGGAGGAGGAGACGCAGATAAAGAGGATATTTCCCCTTCCTATGCATCTCCTCCACCGTCAAATCCACTTCCTCTTCCCAACCTCTCCTTATAAGAAAAGGGTGGTAAAGAGAAAGTGACTTAAATTAGGCCTCCGGCACCACACTCATCAGACGAAACACGGAATTGCTTCCATTTCATGCCTATCTTCTGTGTGGTCGTGGTATTACTGGGGGCGTGCCGGCCCATTCGTACTAAGATGTTAAAGCGGGCACTACCACTGTTAAAGTCATTTCAATAAATAATTTACTCTTTATAATATTAGAAAAGATGACTATAACGTGACGGTGATAGACCATAATAAACATAGATTGACAAGTTATCTGGCCCGATGGGCATAAGTTAAACTATATCATGTTTGCTAATCTTAAATCTTAAATATCATTGTAATTGTTGTTTAATCATTAAAATAAACTTAGAAGAATAGAATCTTCACTTAAGTTGAGGAGAGATCGTGTTCAAGCACTGATTATACAATAAAAAAATGATAGGAATTTTAAAATGTTCAATTCTGCATCCCGTAACACATGAATTATTTATCGTTCTATATTCTACAACTACATCGTCAAATATGTTATTCTATAGACCTTTTGTAACAATTAGATTGCATTACAATAGATTCATCACTATCCAAACTCTCAACAAACAAAACAATGTCATGCGTAACCATATCTAATTCCTGATTATTCTCAACTAAGATAAATCAATTGTCTATCTTTCATAACCTTCAAGGTCAATAGTTTATTTATACATTTTAAGGAATAAACGTAATACTGCAATCTTACTAATCTTACTAATATCATAAATGCGAAAGTTTAGATGGATGGATGTTTGTTAGCGTTTGTAGCCTAAACGGCTAAACGGATCTCCATTAAATTTGGCACAGGTTTAGAGCATAGTCTGGAAGAACCCATACTTTTTATCCCAGGAATAGTTGCGGTTCCCGTGGGATTTATTAATTTAGTTTTTTAATGTTTACTCGATCATTCTGCAACGGTTCAACATATCTTATTGAAATTTGGCACAGATATAAAACAAAGTCTGGAGTACACATGAGATATATTCATCCCAGAGAAATGTCCGGTTCCCGAGGGATACGTAGCTTTTTTTAAATTTACATAGTTCGTATGTTTTCTAATAGCACGCGGAAGAAGTCGCGGGCAAAAGCTCGTTTTTGTAAATTTTAAGGATTAAACGTAATACTGCATTGCATTGGAATTTTGAATTGAGAGCATACACGTAAAACAATCCCACAAATGTTCCGTCTTGCTTTGATTCCCATTAGCTTACACACTACTCGATTTTTAGTTGTGCAACTAAACAGTTGAATTGGCTACGAAACAATCGACAAACGCACAAGATGTGCGATTTTTTAGACAAAGGTGTGCGCCCGCTCTAAGTATTCTCAGTCCAGCAATAACATCTGTTCTGTTATACAAATGTGCTGCTCGCCTGGTATACCACGACCACATAAGATAGGCGTCAAGAGGAACCAATTCCGCGTAATCTAATGAACGAGCGATCTGTCACTCATTTTAATCCCGTTTTCCTCCTCACCCTTTTTCATAAGGGGAGGATTGTAGAGAAAAGTGGATTAGACAGAAGAGATGCTTAGGAAGGGATAGCATTTTCCTATGCATTTCCTCCTCCGAAAAACTGTAAACAGCAAATCTCAGACCAGATATTTGCAAACTAGCTGTTCTCGTGCGGCTTCATCCGCTTCAACTTTATTTTATTGTTTACATTTGTCAAATTCTCAATTGCAAAAATTACCGTTACCATAATAAGCTTCCTTCCTTAATGATGGCAGCTTGTAGTTTATGGTCACTTTCGCACTTGATGGTTTTTTCCAATTTATTTACCCCTAAGTTTTAAAGCGTGAAAATATATAGCCTAAAGCGTGTCGTAAGTGTAGGGCACTTTATTAAAGAAAGATTTATTCAAAACTATGCTGTGATTGACATCGTGCGCCACAGAGTAGTGTGTGTTTACGCTTTATTATATTAAGTATAGAAGTATAGATAGTATAGATTACTATACATTAGTATACCTTAGCTTACTTAGCGTAGTTTACATAACCTCTTGGCTTCATTTATCCGTCCTTCTTGTTATTGGTAAAGGTAAACACCGTCATTGCTTTGAATTGATTTCCGCCTGATATTTGTGACTTCAATTCAAATCAATTGACATACCATCGCAACAGGCCCAATGAGTTTATTAGAAACGTCAACACATCGAGAATTTTCTTAAATCAACAAACTATTTAAAGTTTAAGGTCATATTAGTTAGGGTTCAAATAACAACCATAGTAAACAAGCTTGAGAGAACACATACAAAAGATATATAACTGTTGTTCGCGGCTTCGTCCGCGTGAAATTAAAAAATATATCCTATGCTATTCACAGATAAATTACCTTTCTAATGGTGAAAGAATTTTTAAAAGGCCCAGTTTTACGTGAATCAAATACATACAAAAATACAAATCCTCCCTCTTTATAATCTTACTAATATTATAAGTGCGCAAGTTTAGATGGATGGATGGATGGATGAATGGATGAATGGATGGATGGATGGATGGATGGATGTTTGTTAGCGTTTGTAACCTAAACGGCTGAACGGATCTCCATGAAATTTGGCACAGGTTTAGAGCATAGTCTGGAAGAACACATAGGGTACTTTTTATTCCGGGAATAGTTACGCTTCCTGCGGGATTCATTAATTTAGATTTTTAATGTTTACTCGATTATTCTGCAACGGTTCAACATATCCTTTTTCAAATTTGGCACAGATATAAAACAAAGTCTGGAGTACACATGGGATGAGGTTCATCCCCGAGAAATGTCCGGTTCCCGAGGGATAGTTAGCTTTTTGTTATTTATATAGTTCGTATGTTTTCTAATACCACGCGGACGAAGTCCCGGGCCACAGCTCGTATTAGTATAAATACTATAGATAAGACTTCAAGTGTTATATAGTAGTTACTTATTGGATTTTAACGAAAAAGCACTGCCAATAGCGATACTAGCGCCCTGGGCGAGAATTCTACAACGCCCTCTTGTTTTTACTATGCCTTTGCATCAAGAGTTATGTGGGACTATGTTACTCGCAGATCTGTACAGCGCCCTGGGCGGTACGTACCCGAGCCCTATACTAACGCGGGTAATGACAATAAATAATACATGATAGTCAAGATAAAGGTATAGATAAAAAGGCACTATTAAACAGCGTAACATCCGACACGTCCGAAATAAAGAGGAGTCCCATACTTTCCTTTTTTCTTAAGAGGAAAGGATGGGAAGGAAAAGTGGATTTGACGGTGGAAAAGGGAAATGTTCTCTTTATGTGCATCTTCTATTCCATAGATTAAGGGTAGACAACGCATCTGCAATTGCGGATGTTTATGGGCAGCGGTCGCTTTCCATTTCGATGGATTCAGGTGGCCGCTTGCTCGTTTGCCACCTTATATTATATAAAAAAATTGACGATTATCTGTTTACACAATGTTGGTAGAATTGATCATATATATTTCAGTGTATTCTACGTTACAACAATCGCATACCAGTTTCAATCAATTAACGTCCTGAGAACATTCTAGACGCGGTCCAGTGTAACCAGAGTGAGACCGGGCACGGAACCGCATTG